GGGCCCCATCACTTGCCAACCAGAAAAGCAAATAGGAGCAAAGGTGCAAAGTTCTCTCCTGGAACCTCCCTGGGAAGACCAGACAGATGGGGCAGCCGGCAGCCACTCTAAGAGGCAGGAGCTTGACTTCTCCCACTCGCTGCTCTATGCGGTGCACCTCCCTCGGCCCCACCTGGCTCGGTGGGATGCAGCTGTCGGCAGGGCGAGCGCGGTCCCGGCGAGTCCCAGGGCTGCCTGGTCCTGCGGACCGGAGGCTCGAGCCCACAGCCATCCTGACAGCTGCTCACCGCCACGGGGGGAGGCAGGGAGGGGTGGAGGGCCACTGGACACGTTAGGGAACATGTGATGGGAAGGAGCCCACAGGGGATGACCCAGCCCCGACCCCGGCACGGGCACACCGCTAGAAGCAACAGGCCCTGCCACGGCGCTGGCAGGAACCGGTTCCCCTGCTTTGCTCCCAAAGCCAGATCAACGCAGAGCGGGGAACAGGCGATGCTATTTAACCAGGAGCCAGACACACAAAAACAAGGATCATGTTCCTCCCACGCAACGTCTGCTGCTAACACAGGTCCAAGGAGACCCCAGCCCTCTCTCCCAGGCATGTGTGCCGCGGTCCTTCCCGGAAGCCCCAGCTCTGCAGTTCAGAGGGGGATCTACAGCCCGCAGGTAGACGGGCTCAGAACCCAATCCTTGGGGTACAGGATTTGGGGAAGCTGGGTCTTCCAAGTCTCATTGTGCGGACAAGAGACCTGTGGGCTAACACGGCCCGTCCTCCCTGCGGTGCTCCCCTTCGTGTTACGGAACCATCGTGGAAGAAAAAGGTCTTCCTGACACATATGTCATGTTCACATGCCCATGGAGAAGACCGTCACCCAAAAACAGGGTCGCTGTGGGCGGGCCCTCTGCCTACAAGGGAGGACAAGATGATCAGCTTGTATTTAAAATGAAGGAACAGGGACGCCTGGGTGGCTCAGTGGGTTAAGCCTCTGCCTTTGACTCGGGTCATCGTCTCAGGGTCCTGGGATCGAGTCCCGCATGGGGCTCCTTGCTCAGCGGGGAGTCTGCTTCTCTCTCTACCTCTGCCTGCCTCTCTGCCTGCTTGTGATCTCTCTCTCTCTCTCTCTGACAAATAAATAAATAAAATCTTAAAAATAAAATAAAATAAAAGGAAGGAACATAGTGTAGGGCAGAAGCCCCAGGGCAGGAAGCTTGGACCAACTGTCATCTGGGAAAGGACCTTTGAGAGGCCGTAAGGACAAGATAGTCACAGAAACAGGACAGGGAGTGGACGGCCAGCTTCGCTGTGACTTCCCTCTTTCGGCTGCCCAGCTGTCCCTTTGATTATCACCTACTGCCTGGAAAACCCCAAGGCCTCTGCCTCTCACTCGGGAGGCCATCTGCTGCTTGTGCCCCCTTGACAGCAAATACCAAAACACTATTTCCTCCCCAAAGAGCCAGGAAAGTAGGGCCTGGGAGATGAAACTGACCTTAGACATGAGCTAGGATTGAGGAACAAGGAAGGACTGGACCCCAAAAAGCAAGGAAAGGTGCAAACCCAGCCAGGAAGCCACCCAGCGACCCAACGGTAGGTTAGGTGCACCTCACGTGACGTCTCTATGGTTTCCCTAAGATTTTAGTTACAGAACTTGACAAATGAAAGTGTAAAATGACTTCTGTTACGTACGCCCTTGGCCCCAATTTCGGAAAGACAGAGGTAGAACGACCAATTTACCAGACCCGTGCATTCCGGGTCACTCAGGACGGAAAACCAGCGCGTAAAGCCACGTGCACAAACTAGGACCGACGTGGGCTACTGCGGTGGTTCCTGCCCCAACCGACCCGGACAGAGCAGGGAGAAGACACAGACGCCACGCCTGTGCACCTGCGGCCAGGTGGGCCCCTCCGGGTGGCTCCTCACGTGCGTGACCTTTAAACACCTGGACAGACTGGCCGTCCAAGGCTCAGCAAGAGCAGGGCATGCCACCCCGCTGGGTGAGGGCTTGGGGAGCATCTCACTGAGTCATTAAGCGGCCAGACCTTGCTCCTCCCTGAGGCCTCTATCAGGTCAGAAGACACAGTAAAAGATATGCTTCAAGTCGGACATCACAGGACAGCTCATCAAAACAGATTTCTTAGTGACCCAAGACCCAGTGCCCAAGGATGCACAGGTGGTCAACAGCAAAAAAAAAAAAAAAAAAAAAAAAAAAATCCCAAAAAACAAAAAACCACCACCCCTGGGTGCCTGGGTGGCTCAGTCAGGGAAGAATGTGCCTTCAGCTCAGGACATGATCTCAGGGTCCTGGGATTGAGTCCCGCCTAGGGCTCCCGGCTCAGCAGGGAGTCTGCTTCCTCCTCTGCCTCTCTCTCTTTGTCTCTCATGAGTAAATAAAAACCCTTAAACACACACACACACACACACACACACCACCACTGAAGTGAAAGGAAAAAGATCTCCTAGACTATTTCCCTGAATCTGGGGGGAGGGGAGGCTGCAGACTCCTGCTTTCAAGTCTGTGCACCAGGCTCATCGACGGTCACCAGTTTTGTAGAAATACAATGTTTATCAGTAAAACCCACCCGGGCCCCAGCTGCTACACTTGTCTCACTGTGCAGCCGCAAGCCTGTCCTCCCCACGCTGTCCCCACGGTGTGAAACTACGTGGCTAATCTTACACGAGAAGATTCAGGCCTGTGAGAAATTCGGGGTCCCACCGCTGGGGAGGAGGGGGCGGTGGATAAATCTCGAGCTGAGTCTGTGTTGCAGACAGCCTGGGCGCCCTGGTCCCCGGGAACAGCCTGTGGGACCCAGCGCCCCGAGAAGTTACGAAGTGAAGAGAGTCACTATACACACACAGCCAACCCCAGGGCTGTACAGATCTGCTTCCGCCTGATGGACCACACGAGGAATTAAGAAACATCAAAATGTTTTTACCAATTTGCTCACTGTGAACAATCCAACGGATGGTCGATAACATTTTGTTACAAAGTATAATGCTTAGTATGCGCCAGGCACTAGGTCCTCGGGATGACCATTGCCCGTGACGTGGGTACAACGATCTTCACGGCACAGACTGAGAGGCTAAGGCACAGAGGAATGCAGTCGGTACCGTGTACCAGGGCTGGCGTCTGAACCCAGCAGTTCACTTTGGGGGCCACACTTTAGCCACGGCACTGAGGCACCCCAAACCAGGGCTGAGAGACCTGTGCGAGCAGGTAGGCTCCAGAAACCCAACGGCTGACTTCTCAGATATCTTTATCCGAGGCTGCGGGAGGCTCTTTCTGCACGAAAGAGAACGGATGCTAGCCGCCGGTGGTGACATGGGGTTAGTTCCCACTCCCTTGCTTTTTTATGACTCATCGGGCAGAACGAACCGTGTTCTCCTGTCTGCAAAAAGAGGGGTAGGGAAGAGCGTGCGCATGCGAACAGCAGGCACCCCTTCCAAGGGAGGAGGCAGCGCACACAGCCGTTTCTGGGGCTGCAGCATCCTGAGCCCGAGGATGCACAAATTTGGTTCTGTCCTCGGGGCATGAACTTGGAGAACTTACCTCCCTGAGGCCCAGGGTTCCCCTCTGTTATGGGGATAACCTCACTCCTGACTTTATGGGCTTGTTCTGGGGGCTAAGTGAGTTCATGAGTAGTAATCAGAAAGTATATACACAGCAACCATCATCACCAGAGGGTTTTAAAACTCCCTTGAGAAGAACTTTCGCCTGCCATGTCGAGATTTTGCCCACCATCAACACGCCACACGCCAATAAGTGCCATAGAACATGTAATAACGGCACTCAGCATCCCCCCGCCTCCCGGTACCAACACGGGGCAGCTGCTCAACTCCCCAGTTACTACTACCAGCCAAGAGCACTTCAATAATCCTTTCTTTGCAAAAGTTTCCATGGTTCTTCAAAGCCTTCAGGAGTCACTCATCAATTAATATTTCAACCGAAGAATTTCTAAACCTGACAACACAGATTCTTAAAAGTTCTCTCATCCACCCATTGGCAGACTGGGAACGGACCTCTGGGCTCTGGCCTTCTGCGCCCACCCCACATGGCCATTTCTGAGAACCGTGTCTCCCTTCCTTCCGGATGCAAGAACTTGGGCCTTCCAGGTGGTAAAAAACAAACAAACAAACAAACAAACAAACAAAACAAAAAAGATTGGTAAGACCAGTGTAGGAGGGGGCGCCTGTGAGGGCAGGGAGCAACCAGTCCTGCTCCTCCTAGGAACCTGGTGGGGCAGGAGGACAAACTTCCGAGCGGGCATCAGAACGTGCTATGTCGTTCTCCATCTCGGAAGAGAATCTGAACTAGATCGCAGCCAACATACGGCACCAGCTTCCGAGTGTGGGATAACAGGATTTCAAATCCACCGGCTTCTGGCAGGGCTTCTGAGCGTATATTTAGCCATCTTAAATTGCCTATTTTTTTTTCCTTCCCCTTTTTTCTACTCTTTCTTTCTTTTTTTAAGTGAAACAAGGGGGAAGAGCCCAGGCCTGGGGGACGTGCGTTTCCTGACACGCGGTTCCTCCAGCCAGACCGCCGACCCCAAGGCCCCGCAAGGCCGGGAGCGCGCCGCTGGGCCGGGAGGAGCACTTCGGGGGCCGCGTCCGCACGCGGCGGCCCCTCCAAGTTCTCCCTCGCGTGCTCTGACGATCCAGCAAGACAAAGACCGCAAGTTCTCGGGTCCACGGCTCCACGCAGGCGGGCACGGCGTCTCCCCGGATCAGGTCCGCTCCCGGCCCGGGCGCCCGCACCCGCCGCGGAGGGGGTCCCGGGCGCATCTGCGCGAGCCGCAGGGCTTCCACGGCGTCCCGCTCGCGCCCGGGTCCCGCGCCTCCCGCGCCTGCGGCCGGACCGCGGCTCCTCCCGGGCCCCGCCGCGCCAGGCCCAGCGCCCCGCGCGCGCCCCGGCCCCGGCCCCGCAGAGGGGGCGCCGCCCTCTCCCCCACCCCCGGCTCTCGGCTCCCGCCCGCGCGGTCCCCTCCGGGGCCCCGATACCCACCCGGGTCCCGCAGCGGGGGCCGGATTCGCGGCGGGTCCCGGAGCCGCCGCCGCCGCCGCCGCCGCCGCCGCCGCCGCCGCCGCCGCCAGTGAGGCGCGGCGGGGCGGGGTCGCCCGGCGAGGCCCGGCCCCCGGCCCGCCCCCGGCCCC